TTATCTTAAGTTAGTTAGTTCTGATCTGACAGCCGAAGAATAAAGGCACCTCTTCTAAGTCTTATGTTTTATTCCTAATCACCGTTGGGGGAATAACTGTAGCCACGACCCGGCTACCAGTTTACAAGAAGAGGATCAGCAGCATCATTGTCACTGATCGTGGCCACCACCTGGTCTTGATCGATGCCCTGCATCGTTACGGAAGTGCAGAGATATCTACAAAGTGTCCGACCGTTGTGGGCAGCAACTTGCCGCATCGGTTTTGTCAGAACCCACTATTCCGTGAGCAGCACGTGCCACGGTGGAACCCTCCTGCAAGAGCTGTGCAGGTGGAGAATGTTGTAGGCAAACACGCTGCCACAACCAAACCAAACCTTATCTTATCTATTCTTGATCAGGATCACCTCCTGAGTTGATATGAGCATGTCCGTCTGTCCGTCTGTCTGTCCGTCTGTCTGTCTGTCCGTTTCTACGCGAACTAGTCTCTCAGTTTTAGACAGTTTTTAGAAGCTATCGTCTTGAAACTTTGTACACACCCTTCTTTCCTTTGCACGCAGCATATAAGTCGGAACGGCCGGGATCGGCCGATTATATCCTATAGCTGCCATATAACTGATTGATCGGAAATGGTATAACTTTGGTGTTTTTAAAGATAGAGAGTTCAGATTTCTTACATCAACTGAGTTCGGTCAAGAAATAAGAATAAGAAATTTTAAGACTCATATATAAGTAATATGCGTTTTTATACCCTTGCAGAGGGTATTATAATTTTGGTCAAAAGTGTGCAACGCAGTGAAGGAGACATCTCCGACCCTATAAAGTATATATATTCTTGATCAGGATCACCTCCTGAGTTGATATGAGCATGTCCGTCTGTCCGTCTGTCTGTCCGTCTGTCTGTCTGTTTCTACGCGAACTAGTCTCTCAGTTTTGATGCTATCGTCTTGAAACTTTGCACACACCCTTCTTTCCTTTGCACGCAGTATATAAGTCGGAACGGCCCGGATCGGCCGACTATATCCTATAGCTGCCATATAACTGATTGATCGGAAATGGTATAACTTTGGTGTTTTTAGAGTTAGAGAGTTCAAATTTGACATGAGAGCTATTTTTGCATTACATTACGATATGCCAAATTTCATAAGGATCGGCCGACTATATCCTATAGCTGCCATATAACTGAACGATCGGAAATGACCCAACTTTCGTGTTTTTGAAGATAGAAAGCTGGAATTTAGTACAGACTCAGTTTATCCAACCTACCAAATTTCATTAGGATCGGCCGACTATATCCCATAGCTGCCATATAACTGAACGATCGGAAATGACCCAACTTTCGTGTTTTTGAAGATAGAAAGCTGGAATTTAGTACAGACTAGTTTATCCAACCTACCAAATTTCATTAGGATCGGCCGACTATATCCCATAGCTGCCATATAACTGAACGATCGGAAATGGTATTTGGTAGAAATATCAACTTTCGTATTTTTGAAGATAGAAGTTTGGGACTTTTTTTAGATTTTGTATTGTAATAAATTGGATTATATATTCCTATTCCCATAAGGATCGGCCAACTATATCCGATGTTTGCGATATATATCCGGTTTTAACTGCAAGGGTATATAAACTTCGGCTCCGCCCGAAGTTATCTTTCCTTTCTTGTTTATTACTGTATTGTGTTGACAGTTTACTATATTACCCAATATTAGTCTGTTAGCTCAAGAGATTTATTTTTTAGATTTTGAAAAATGCGAAAAGTTATTATTTTTTTTTTTAAATTAAAAACCAGGGACCGTAAATAATGATTATGAGTTTAAAAAAATTGAAGCCCAAAACAGTCTCCAAAAAAATTTAAAAAAATTGTCATAAGTTAAATTTTCATGGCGAATTCAAAAACAAGATAAATTTTTTTTTTTCAATTTTTATGAAAAAAATTGATTTTTAATAATTAAAATTAATTCTAATAATAAAAAATTAGTTATAATTATTACGTATCAATTTTTATATAAAAATAACGCAATAACTTTTATTTTCAATTTTTATTATATAAATTGTATAATAAAAATTATTCGATAACTTTTATTTTTAAAATTGAAAATAAAGATTGAATCTATATATCTTTTGATCCGTTGAAACCAGATCCAATATATATGTTTATATATGATCTACACATCAATACCTTTCAGATGGTATATAATAAGTATATATATATATATGTATATATATATGTTTATCGGCTTATGTGCCTGTGCAGTATTGGCAGTATTCATAAATAGCCCAACTATTGTTGCGGCGGCTGAGAAAGAGTAGTTCATTAAATTATTAATCAAGATTAAATTACAACAATTTATTAGTTTTTAATATATATGTAAATGGCTAATTATTTAATTTCAAGAACATTAACTTTTGCATGGAGTCTTCGGGAAGGTTGCATCTAAGATCAGTAATTACTAATTTAAGGGCCGAAAATGCCCTTTCAACCGATACCTGCGTAGCTACTACTGAACTACTCTTTCTTAGCCGCCGCAACAATAGTTGGGCTATTTATGAATACTGCCAATACTGCGCAGGCACATAAGCGGATAAACATATATACATACATATATATATATATATACTTATTATATACCATCTGAAAGGTATTGATGTGTAGATCATATATAAACATATATATTGGATCTGGCTTCAACGGATCAAAAGATATATAGATTCAATCTTTATTTTCCAATTTATATAATAACAATTGAAAATAAAAGTTATTGCGTAATTTTTATATAAAAATTGATAGTTAATAATTATTACTAATTTTTTATTATTAAAATTAATTTTAATTATTAAAAATCAATTTTTTTCGTAAAAATTAAGAAATAACTTTTATTTTGTAATTTTTTGCTTTTTTAATTATAACCGTTACAGTCCCTGTTAAAAACAACTATATTACATTTAACTGCGTTAATATTTCGTGCAGACATGTAAAATTTTATGAGGTTTGAGAATTTGCTCATGATATTGATCAGCGATGCCAAAAACCTATCACATGCGCACAAAAATTTCTCTGGCTGGCCTCTACTCGCCTACTAAAATTGAAAGCTACTTGAAACAGTCGTGGACCTACGCACTATGGGGTCAATAACCACTATTTGTGGTCAAGAGTAATTTTTTAAAAGTTCTTAAAAGGGGATCAAGTGACGTCATTACCTTAAGATAGAATTAAGCTTCAATGGTTTATATCAAAAAAGTTAAAATACTAAGCCAATTTTAAGATAAAAGCTGTTTAATGTCGAATCAATCAATGCTACTTGTAAGTTTTTGTGCATGTCTATTGAAGGAATTGATGTTTTTTTTATTGGGGTTATATTGGTACTCCTTTAACGGATGCATGTTAATGGTAAATCTAAAGCCTAGTACTGAGTTGACGAAAATCCGCTGTCGCACGAGTGACAGCTGTCAACAGCTGTAAAATAAGAAATAAGAAGAAATTTTTGCCTCCTCGATTTTGCCGGTACTATGTCGACGAAAATTTTTGTTATCGAATTGAATGGCGTTGCCGGATCAAAAAAAATAAACAGCTGATTTTGGGGAGTTGAAAGAACTAATTTTATTTATTTCGATAGGTGAAACATGGAGGGAAAATTGATAAAACGAAAAAATAGTCGAAAAATTTTCGGCGCGCGAGGATAAATTGAAATTAATCAATTTATGATGGCCAGGGCGAAGGCCATAATATAGGATTTGACCCGCAAGGGGCATTTTAATGCCATAAAATGGCATTGAAATGATTTGTGATTGATTTTGATTTTGACCCAGTTTTCTTTTTCTTAATCAGCTCCTTAGCGGCGAAATACATAAACAAAACACCAACATCCAATCGTTTTGAATTCATTTTTGCTTATTTTTTTTTTGTTTTCAAACAACAGCTGTTCAGTTTTACCCTTTTCCTTAATTTTTTTGGTCACACTAGCTCAGTAGCTGAATAAAGTGCGATTTCTCTAGCGGATTTTCGACAGCGGATTTTCGTCAACTCAGTACTAGGCTTTATCTTTAAATAGAGAGAAAAAAAAGTTCTACCTAGTTGCACCTTAATATTTATACAGTGTTCTAGAGTGTTTTATACTCTTTCAAATGAATGCCCTATTAAACTGCACTTTTTGAGCAATTCGCATTTTTTTGAGGAGAACTCGAGTTTAACAGCATAGAAAAAAAATTTGCTTTTCTTGTCTCTGTTATCGCCCATATATATTATTTATTAAATAACTTTTATGTTTTTTATCCAATGTGGACAAAATTCAAAAAAATGTGGACATTTTTAGAACATCTTGAATACATATATGAAATATATGTGGTCAAATTTTTAAGTGATTATCCTTACAATTTTTCTACATATTTAACTTATTTTTTATTTTTGGGACGGAAAAGGGCGTGATAAAATTCAAATATTTTATTTATTTGCCTGTAACGTAAACGCATTTTATATTATTTGAAAGGTCTAGATTTAAAAACGTCCGAAATATTCAGTTTTTTGTGGGCGGTGAGGGCGATAAGATGCCCACTTTTCTATACTAACTTTTTAGGTTCGTAAGCTATTTAGTTAAAAAATAAAGTCAGTGAAAAATCTCTTTCGATTTACTCGTATTATTAAAGTATTTGGTCGGAAGTATTTGATAAAAATTTCGACGTGTTGTACGTATGTATGCGTCTTGCGTTGTTGCTGAGCTCTTAAGCTATTCCACAACAAGTAATTTATATCCCTGTTCATAATGCATAACGTACATATGTACATATAAATATCTATGACAAATATCAAACAATTTTACTTTTAGATGTGATGGCACATTGCTGGTCGGTAACATTTTTAAATCAACGGGAGAATTTTTTCAAAATTGACTGGACTTAAATTAAAAACTTACTTTATTATAAAATAGTATTTATGGGTGTAAATGGAAGTGTAAATGAAAATGAAAAAGAAATGATGAGAAGACTTGATTTCCATGGTACTCTACCTGTAGCAAACGGCCAGTGTTGCAAAGCTAATGAAGACACATTTCACGATAACTGTTAAAATGATGACCATGGTTAATGTGCTGATCCTATTTTGGTCAGAGGTGCCTGCAAATGGTGGTTGCGATTTATTTTTTTTTTACAATGTAAATGAAAATATATGCGCCATTGTGCGTATGTAAATTTTATATAATAAAAATGTATTTGAAAGATTTCCAATATTTGCTAATTTAATAGAAAAGGAATAACCTTTATACAAAACAAAGCAAATATGGATTTGACTAAATATGCCGGGAGTTATATATTTTTTTTGGCCAATAAGTAACTTACTAATTAAACCGCAGAACACAGAATTTAGTGATTTTTAAACTAATTAATATACTTCTTATTGTATACTAGTTTTCATATTTTCAAAAATAGTGTTCGAAATTAAAGAAAAATTGTAACAATTTTACCTTAAGGACCTTAAATTCTTTCAAATAAAATACTATTAACAAACACTTTAAATAATATTAAAATTTTTTAACGGTTGAGAATAATTATATAATTTAATAATAATTCGGAATAATTAAATCATAATTTAAGAATCTGCTTATCATAGATCCGGATCTAAAAATTTAAAGCATTTTTGGCTTGAAACATTAGGCTTCGGCTTACACCTTACAGTATTTAAAAGCAAGAAACAACTAAAAAGGAAAAAGTAGCATGGAAGAAAAGACACATATATAGCGAGTGGATGAGTGGATGAGTGATTTTTTAATTCAATAATTTTTTCTAAACGTTTGTTTGACAAGGTTTTGGGGCTAGTAAGGGCATTGAAGCCCCAGATACAACATTTTTCTTTAATCACATTCTAATACGAAATACGCATTTTTCGCGATCGGTACTATTTCTAGTACCGATCAACTATTTCTATGTGACCTTTTGTTCAGAAGTTATTTAGGAAACATTAGAAAATAAGAAAAAAAGAAAAATATATATATATAGGATATAGTATTACAAGATTTAGTCGCTTATGAAATTTGATCAATTGAACAAAAAGGAAAATCGTAGAAAATCCCATCTTAATAGCTCTACATTTTAGAGTAAGCTCTAAAAGATAAATTCTCATTTTCATAGGCCTAAAAAGTCTGCTGCAGCGCTGCCAATACACGAACAGTGTATAGTAAGCGATCTCTCCATTACTCTCATTTGGATTCTCCTCAGACTCCAAACCTTAGAAAAAAATGTTCACTGAGATAAATGTTTTCAAAGATTTGGGCGGAACCAGGTTTTTCTGTATAAAATGTAGACGGAAAAGCGTAGTTCTTTCTTTGTTTAAGAACTGTTGCTAATGCAGCTTTCTTAAATATGTATAAACAAGAAAGATAAGCTAACTTCGGGCGGAGCCGAAGTTGATATACCCTTGCAGTTACAGCCGGATATATACCGCAAAAATCGGATATTTATATTTAGATTTAGATTTTTATAAGAATATAATAAAATAACCAATTCATTACAAAACAAAATCTAAAAAAAGTCCCAAACTTCTATCTTCCAGAACTTTTTTTAAAGTCCAGTATTTCTATACTGGAGCTATAAGATGGCAGCTATAAGATATAGTCTATATAAGATATAGTATTTGGTAAAAATACCAACTTTGGTATTTTTGATAATAAGAGCTTTGGACTTTGTTTTAGCTTTACTTTAATCAATTGGTTATGTATATTATGATATTCTCATGAGGATCGACCAACTTCATCCGATGTTTCGGGGTTTAACTGCAAGGGGTGTACTATCAACTTTGTCTCCGCCCGAAGTTAGCTTTCTTTTCTTTTTTATTATATTGCCATTTTTTTAAGACCCTTAAGTATTTTACAAAATTTTTTTTTCAGTGTGCCGACATAATTGAAAAAAAAATTATTGAACCAATGCATTGGTGATTTTTTGCATTGGTATGAGATTTTGCTCTGCCGTATGTGGGGCTTGGGCACCCCTGTAGGGCCCTGGGTCCTAGTGGGTCGTTTAGATAGGTGCTTAGACCTATCGCTTTAACTGTGGCGCGATAGTTTTCGATCGCTAGTGCCAAGCAAAGTTTAAACCAGATGTTAAATTACCTGGTTTGAAAACCTAGTCAAACCAAGACATTTAACAGCTTATATCTTATCTCCATAAAAGTGGTCGTTGGCCCCATAGAGCGACAGTGTCCCTTCATCGATGAGGCAGGGTTTACGAAAGCAGCATGAAAAACCCGAAAAAAGACTTCAGCTTGACCAACATACATATATCTCTGCAGAAAGAAATGGAAAATAGCACAAAAGATCAGAGTAGCAGAGAACTTCTTAAAATCCATCGATATCTAGCCAAATGCGATGACATTTCTTAACATATAGGAAAACCAACTATATCAAGGTATATGGTAATTCTTTCTAAGCACAGAAGAGCGAACATACTGGCCTATTGAACTAAAAAACTCCCAGACTAGATTGATTTCTGTACAAGAAAAAATGTAATACGCGAAAATATGGAAGTTAAATCCTGCCTTGTTCTAAACATTAGATCACTTCCTAATTATAATTACACTAATAAAAAATAAAACAAAGTGGTAATCAGTTGAAACCAATTTCAGCCTAAGACCTTGGGAATCTAAAGCTATCTTTAGATCTATAAGAATCGCGAAATAATGCGATTTAAGTCAATTTTTCCAGGACTCTCTTGTGGCCAACTTCTGACTACCAAGCGCGTTCGCCATGGACAGAAATAGTTGGTAGTCACTTGGTGTTAGATCTGGACTATACGGTGGATGCAAAAGAACCTCCCATCCGAATTCCCGGAGCTTCTGGTGCGACACCAAAGATGTGTGTGGCCTGGCGTTGTCCTGATGGAAGACAATTCGGCCTCTGTTGATCAAAGATAGCCTCTTCAACAGGAATTGGCAGGAATTTCTGAATTGAGCGTTTGGCCATAGGGGAGCAGCTCGTAGTAGTTGATTCCCTGCCAATCCCACCAAACATACAGCAGAACCTTCCTAACCGTTAATCCAGGCTTTGCCACCGTCTGGGCAGCTTCACCGTTTTTCGACCACGACCGTTTGCGCTTCACGTTGTCGTAAGTGACCCACTTTTCATCGCCAGTCACCGATCCAAAAACGGGTCGATTTTGTTGCGATTCAGAAGCGACTCTCATGCATCCATACGGTCAAAAATGTTTTTTTTTGCCTCAAGTCGTATGGCACCCGAGCTTCTTTTAGAATCCAATATAACGGTTTCATGACTCATGCCCAGCTCTTGGCCGATGCTACAGCTGCTACTATGCCTGTCTCTCGCGACCAATTCAGCGATTTTGGCGCATTTTCGATGACAGGCCTTCCGGAGTGTGGCGCATCTTCGACCATCTCTGCACCAGAACGAAAACGCTGAAACCATCATTGTGCAGTGGAAATGAAAACTGTATCGGGTCCATAAACTGCAAAAATTTTATTGGCAGCATTTTTGCTTTTATTGTAGTAGTACTGTAACAACACTATAGCTACACAACTGTCAGCTATAACTCACCAACGATTAAAAACAAACAATAATAAATCAAACACGTATTAGCGCTTTCCAAAAAGCTATAGCGCGAACCGATGCGACGAATAAAACTAAAGCTTCGTACTTGCAAAAGACACCTATCGGACCGGAATAATACCGGAAGACTTTTTGGACAACCTATTCACCGGTGGCAGTCGGTGGCACGCATATTGCCTTGAACCTAATGCAAAAGACAAACACATTAAGAGGAGAAACATCCCCATAGCTCCTAACTAAGTAACTAAGAGATTCTAACTAAGTAATGTTAACCAGGCTGCCTACAAAGTGAGTCTTATTCATATTGATATATGTTCATACAAGTATAACTTAGCAAAATGGCTTTACATGTATATTTTTCAAATAGAAAAAATGTGTTCGCTGATCCGCATAGAAATCAAACCAGCGACAATAAACCTTAAGCCATCATCGATACATTCTTGGCCACAGCGCTATATTATTCAAATTCGACGATGAATATGATTTTATGATAATTTGGCCGAAGCTAAAATCAGAAACAGACTGGCCATCGCCGGTTCAGTGATACACAAATAAATAAGAAACAAGGAAGGACGGCTGTAGTCGAGTTTCCTAGGTATATTATAACCAGTACTCTTTTTTATTGAGCGGCAGAAATCGAAGCGACAAATCAGAAAGCACTGTGTGTATGCTGCGGAATTTTATTTTCGACTGACTTTTAAAATTTGGTATTTATGTTTTCTTATTCTCTATGCCTTAGAGAAAGACAATTATATATACTTCAAGATCTGTTTCCAATACCTATACAAGCGTGCATTGTAACAGAAAGAAATGCCCTTCCAGTGCACTGCAGTGTCGGGTCAGGCAGCAGCACAGCGGTTAAATGTTAATGTTTAAATAATGTTAATGTAATGTTTAGTGTAATGTTTATTTATTTGGGATAAGTTTATATTCAAAAATCGCTTAGTTGGTCGCAAGCCGACCCTCTCTCGGCCGCTCGACTCAACGGGCCTTTCTTTAGAGAGTTTTAGCTCCGCAATGTTTAGGTCGGGCCGCCCTCTCCATTATCGAGAGCTTTAGCTGCTACGCAGTGACTAGTCGGGCCGCCCTCTCTGTACATAACATTGAGTCCCTCCATGCACCAGAAGATGGTCTATTTGATGATCATCCGGCTTCATCTGCATGCAAATAAACATTTATAACGTTTCAAAATTACTTTAATTCGTCTTTGTATTTTGGTGCAAATCTTATTTTCTGTCCGTTTTTTCTGAGAACAACTTATTATCTGGTCTTTTAAGGGTAAAACCCATTTATTCGCCAGGCCCCGACGGAGTACCAGGCTGTGCCAAAAATACTGCGCCAGGGCTCTGTGCAAACCTCTTCTAAGACTTTTCAACTTATCTTTGGAAACCTCGATTTTTCCCCTTAAGTGGAAGGAATCATCAATTCCCCTACATAAAAAAGGGAAAAAGTCCGAGGCTGCCAACTACAGAGCCATCTCTAAGTTGTCGCCAATTCCAAAGTTATTTGAAAAATTAATTACCCCTCATTTGCAACACCTTTGCTCTTCGATTATCACTTCTT